TACACATATATAATGTATATACACACATTTGTAATTAATATATTTATTGTTTTTTAATTAACGAATGATGCATCACTTCGAAAATAATTTCTAAGTTAGGAAATGATGATTTATCAATAGACTTATTCATTCCATTTAAGAAAAATTTAAACATTAAAAGCTAGTACCTGCACATTTCATTACTACTAACTCTTGAATTAGAAAGAGTCTTCTGGTACCAAATGCATAGCATGCATACCATCATAATCACTAATAGAGGCTGATTAAATGTCTAACAAGGTTAGGTACCTGTTACAAACATAATCTTTATGGTTCCATTTGGAACTGTTGTTTGCTTTAATACACTGAAGCATCACACTCATTGAATTTACCGCATATTTATTGAACACTTTCCACACTTACCATTACCATCTAAATAGAGACTAGAGGTTTCCTAGGATTACACAAATCAATGCAATTTATTTCTAGCCTTTGACAAATGTATATTCTTGCCAAGACTGTGTAACAATGGAATACAAAACAAAGTAGGAAAAAACTTTAAGATACATAACATGACAGAAAAGTGAAATCCCACATCTGTTTGAATAAACATAGCAAAGCTTCAATAAAGGAGGTACTATGTCCAGATGAGTGTTGAGATATAGGCAGAACAGTAACAAAAGGAGACTGAAATACAGAGGGTATTCCATGGGCAAAGATATAGAGCTGGGGGAGAGTGTGGCATATATTTTTGTCAGAATTATAATTAAACCAGTATGAATAGACCATACATTACTTGCAATGATATAAAAGGATGTAAATCTGGAATAGATTCTACTTATATTATGTATGAAGAGCATTGCACTAGTAACATATTAAGGAGGTCAAAGACACAGTCTTGAGACAAGTGGTAACCATTTTAATTGTCTTTGTTTTAAGACACCCTTGAAATCACATCTTTACCTATTTATAAAGAAAGACAGAAGACATACAGGTTTACACTATATAATTACAATTTTATTTTAATACTAAAACAGTATTCATATGTTTGAAGTTCAGCCTAGAAAATCCTATGGGACAGTTAGGTATCTAATAGAAATCTCTTTTTTGACTTTCCATCTAAGCCTACTCCTTTATCTTCTATTCTGTTCTAAGTTGAACTTAAATGTGATTCCATTCTTTGTGAGGAGTAACTGATCATGGTTTGGGAGTTGGAATGATAGAGATACATGATAATTCTAAGAGAAACTTCCCAACTTCTCATGAGATCTCTTAAAGTAAAAGGTTTCAGGTTTTAGGAATCTTATTACAATTCCAGTGTATGAGGTAGTAGGGTACTTACAATTTGGTATATAAGATGTATACCCTTTAATCTAAAAAGAATCTAACTTAATTATATATTACTGGTAATACAAGAATAATCTTTCAAGGGGAATACTTGGTGGTCTAATCTGTAGCGTGTTGTGCTGCTAAAAAAGTCTGTGTCTGGTGGTTTGAATCTCCCAGCAACTATTCTGAGGGGAAAAGATGGATACTCTTTTCTCATTTAAAATTTATAACCTTGGAAACTCTATGGATGGTCATAGTTTATGGCAGGGAGCTTGGGTTTGTTGTTTAATTTTACAAGACACAGCAGTACTTCCATGTGTCCCGCCTGTGGCTCACAGTGTTCAGCTGAGTGACTGAGATTATGTATGATTCAGGATAAACTATTCCCAATAATGGACATAGCTCAAAGCATAAGTGCTGTGCTTTTCAGGTCATGTCCTCCTCATGAAGTAGAGAAGGGACGTGAGACAGCTAGACCAGAAAGATAAATGCAAATCAGAAGTCCTAAATTCTAGAATCATTTCTAAGTTTCAGTTTTCACATTTGTTAAAAACAGTAACAACAGTTCAAGATGAGTATCAGCTCTAAGAGCTGTTTTTCTTCCCTTAACACCATATATGAAGACAAATGCTATAGGTTGTATCTCCCTATGGTGCTGAAGCAGATAAATGTCAACTCTGACATAATTCTGGTCTTCATAAGTGTCCCCTTGAGAGTTGGTTCCTGTGCAATTGTTCAGGTCAGAGGTGGGAGCTACAGAAAGACGACCGACAAGCAAATTGGGGAGCTGAGTCTTCCATCAGCTCCATGAGGTGGCATTCTGTCAGCAAGGTGTTCCGCTGGATAGATGGACCCTGTGGGTGATCTTGGAAATGGCATTGTTTGCATGAAGGAGAAATCACTTTCCAGAAGGCTGACCGGAAGCGATGAGACAGCAGGTTATAGATAATGGGGTTGACAGCTGAGCTCAGGTAGAAGAAGACACCTGGGAGTAGGGGATCCAAAGAAACATGCTTAGGAGAAATAAAGTAAGAGACACAGTAGTAGGGAGCATAAATAATTAACAAAGACCTAGAATCTCTGATATTGCCTTTTTTAAAAGTAATAATATATACAAGATTCTAATTGAAAATACAAAATGCTCTGAACAGATCTACCACCTGTGTACTTAGTAATCAAAATAAAACATAAAAAAGATGAAAGTCTTTGAGAAATGTAGGCTGACATGGGATCTCTTTGAGATGTTCGGCAACTTCCTTTGATCCCCACTTGTTTAATTAAAGAACATATTCCCATATCACTAGCAAGAGATGCTTAAATATCAGAAGAAGGCATGATGGTTTTGTCTCATTGGAATTTTACTTAAGTCTATAATTTGAAACTGAAAGTAATGAAAGAATACTAAATCAGTCAAGGGTACTGAGATTCCTTGCTATGTTAAATATCTCTTCAGAGAAATAGTTTCGCCTCCCTTCCTCTAACTAGCCTTTCCCCTTGACAGCTCATCTTAACCAGTATTGGTTGTTTTTTTAATTTTTGCTTTATTTAATTTTCCTATATATTTTTTGCCACCAAATGCTTTGCACATTTTTATTTACCTGTGTTAGTATTCTATTACATTCTTCCTTTAGTACTATATCCTATTAATTACCCCAGAGTCCAAGTTTAGTATAAGATTGAAAATCAGAAGATCTGCCTTTTTATCTCAGCTTTACTTTTTCAATGACCTTCATTCTTTTTTCCTTCTGTGGAACTTCTGATACTCTCTTTGCAAAATTTCCTTTTAAAAGAAGAACACTTTGCAAGAGCTAGAAAAATAAGATAACATGGCCAAGTTCTGGTTCTCACAGGTTTTGTTTATTGATTTGCCAACTTTTAGGAACATTAGAATATAGATAGTGAATTCAGACTTTGTTTTCCCAGGACTTGGACCAGTATTACAGAGGAAAGATATATGCTTAAATACAATAATTAAAAATATAAATTATGGAGCTACATGCTGTAAGAACAAAATATATGACACTAATGAACATACTATGGACTGCAAACAAAACTAATAATGTCTGTCTTGGAGAAGGTGAAACCAAGTTTCTCCTTAGAGGCTAGGATTTTGAAGCTCTGTCTCACATATTTTGGTCACGTAGCCAGAAGAGATTGGAACTCGGAGAAGGGCATCGTGCTCAGAAGGGAGAAAGGACAGTGCAGGAGAGGAAGACCCAGGATGAGATGGATTGATTCAGTGACTGGGGCAATGGGATTGTTGTGTTGGAATCAGTGAGACTGGCTCAGGAGAGGGAAGAGTTCAGAGCTGCTGTACATAGAGTTGCTTCAGGTGACTAGAAGGCACGTAGCAACAACAACAACACCACCACATTATATGTATGTATATATTTTTTTTTCTAAAGCTTCTTATTTAGAGTCAACAAGACCTCATGGAAGGCCTTTGCATTTAAAAGTTGGTTTTTATTACATTTTGGAGGAACATTCTTCTAAATTGTATAGCATTCCTCTGTCAATTTGCTGTACTGAGGTAACCTGCGGCTGCTGTGATGCTGAACCTTGTGCCATTGGGGCATCAAATGCCATGACGGTTATCCATGGTGAACAGTGTTCGGTGGAACTCCAAATTTAAGACAGGTTTAGGTTCCTAAACAACATGCCTCTGGAAACTCTATGAACTTTGAGAAATGATGATAAGCTTCAGGCCTTTTGTTCATAGGGTTGCTAGTCATGCTCAACTAGATGGCAATCAACAACAATAGTCGGGTTATAGAAATTTTCATTAGGCTATTCACATTCAGTCAGGAAAGATTTAATGGAAGTGATGCAACACTAGCTATCTATACTCTTGAAGGTGACAGTTGAAAAAAGGAAGAAAAGGCATTGTGGGTAGAAGATCTACCATATACAATTGTGCCAAGGTGGGGGTGGTTAAACTGTGCAGGATAATTGTGGAATGTGCAGGAATCAGATAATTCAGTCAGATAAGTGTATGGTCTATGCAAGGAAATGTATATTTGAATCTCATAAGGTTTATTGGAATATTTTCTGTAGAATTCAAAAGGCTTGGACTTCATCTGGTTGGCAATGAGGAGCAATGATGGTATCTTAATGGGATCATGCCATAATGAAAGCCAATATTTTGAAATCTTATAATGATTGGGCTGATGCACCAGCAGAGGTGGGATCAACCAGTCAAGAGTAATATGGTCTCCAGTAGTTTCCAATTTCTTTTAAATATCTATATTTTTCCTCAGATCAACTACAAAGTTAAGGTAAAGGCTATAAATATTTTAAGTAGGAGAATTAACATATAGCGATAAATATTTAAATAGGAAATAAAAGTCTAATATTCAGACATTATCCATACACTAGACCTGTTGAGTATAAAAAAAATAAAGAGAATGATGGAAAATAGATAATATCCAGGGTACACAACGCATATGGGGTGTTACACTTTTTCCCCTTTTTGCACATTTAGTCCTTAACTTGCACAAATCAAGCTTCTCTTTCTTCTATGATTATGTCTTTGATAATCAAAATTATCCCTAGAATCAGCAAATGATAGCTCCAGTGGGGGAACAGAAGTGGAAAGAACATAAGACTGACAGTCATACTCATTGAGAAAGAGAAATCTGGATGATTGTTCTCTGTTCTTTCTTGATGGAAAGAACACTGAACTTGAAGTTGGATGACTTGGTCCTGTTTCTGTTCTTTATCAGTTGAATGCCTTTGACTTAGTCACTTGTTTTGAAACTATCTGTCCTACTGAAAAATGTGAAAGATAATAGAAATTTGACAACTTTGCAAGGAATATTATAAAAAAGATATGCATAATTTTTCAGCTTAATATTTTATTGAATATCCATCATTTTATTTATTTTTTACTATCAACCAATGATTTGCCTAGAGATGATGTTATTGCTGTTTTTACATGTGAGGACATTTTGGTGTGAAGGAAGTCACATGCTCAAGAGTCCTCAGAATATTCATAGTGGAATTAGAGTGCGAATCAAAGTCTTCCAACTTTGAGATCTCTTCACCACTTGATAGATAGATACACATTTTACGGTATGTTCTATCATGCCTCCTGGGTACACTTTGATTGACTTTTATAGGAATGCAACCTTTACTGAAAGCAATATGGGACTTGGAGGACATAAATATTTAATAACTAAAAAATCACATGTACATTGGAAAGGAAGCTAAAAGATCATTTTTCTGCTATAATCATCAAGCTTGGTGTTGAGATCTTGCACAAAATAATCTCTAAATTAGGTATCTGATATATCTTATAAATCAATAATATATTTAATCAGTCTTTGAATAAAATGAAGATCAAATGTCTTTATAATAGTATAGTACCTCCTAGAAGAAATTGATAGACGCAGATATAACCTATTACTTTAGGCAACATAAGGAAATTGTATTTACCTTGGGACATTTGCCATGTACCCAAACCAGCTAGGCTTTTACCTGACACCACATGGATGAGATTAAACACAGCAGCCAGGGATTCAGTCCACTCTTCCACAAAGCTGAAGAAGAGACGGTCAATGTGGAATGGAGTCCAGCAAATGGCAAACACTAAGACCAAGACAACTGGAAATGATAATAAGAAAGCAAAAGGCAGGTCAACACAGAGATATGTACATCTTTGGGGTTCATTTATTCTTTCTAGAATTTTGCCCTTATGCAAAAATTTTTGTTAAGCTATGATTGTTACAGAAAATTCAATCCTAAAGCCCTACATATAGAGTATTTTATGTAAGAAGGATGATTGGAACTGCACATCAACAGAGAACTGCCTGAAGTGCAGGCTGGATTTAGAAGTTGTCGTGACAATAGGGGTATTATACCTAATGTCAGATGGATCTTGATTGAGAAAAGAGTACAAGAAGAATGTCTATCTGTTTCATTGACTATTCAAAGGCATTTGACTGTGTGGATCACAACAAACTGTGACTGACTCTGAGAAGAATGGGAATCCCAGAACATTTGATTGTGCTAATGCGAAACCTTTACTAGGACCAGGAAGCAGTTGTTAAAACAGAGCAAGGAAATACTGCATGGCTCAGAACTGGGAAGGTTGTGTGTCCATATCTTGTCATTCTATATGTGGAACAGATTATCCGAGAGCCTGGGCTCCATGAGGAGAAGTGTGGAAGCAGGATTAGAGATAGATTCAACAACAATCTACAATATGCAGATAACACAACCTTGCTTGTTGAAACTGAGGAGGACCTGAAGTGCTTGCTGCAGAAGGTAAAGGACTGCAGCCTCCAATATGGATTGAATCTCAACATTAAGGGGGGGGGAAGATTCTCACCATTAGGCCAATTGGCAGTATCATGATAGATGGTGAAAAGATTGAGATTGTTGACAGCTTCAGTTTGCTTGGCTCTTCAATCAACACTCCTGGTACCAGCAGCCAGGAAATAAAAATAACAAATGACATTGGGGAAGTCTGCTGTCAGAGACCTCTCCAAAGTACTGAAGAGCAATAATGTCAGTCTGGAGATTAAGGTGCACCTTATATAGGCCATGTTCTTTGCAATTACTTGCTATGCATCAAAGAGCTGGACAATGACTAGGGATGATAGAAGGAGAGTTGATGCCTTTGAGCTGTGGTGATGGAGAAGAGTATAGCATGAGCTGCTAGGAAAACAAACAAATTCATCCTGAAGAGGGTGAAGTCAGGCTGCTTCTTAGAGACAAGGATTCTGAAGCTTCATCTGACATACTTTGGATATGTTGCAAGGCAGGATCAGTCCCTGGAGAGTGATGTCATGGTTGGGAGTGTGGAGGGACATCACAGGAGAGAAAGATCCTTCACGAGGTGAATTGATTCAGTCCCTGCGGTAATGGGGATATGTGTGTCAGAAACAATAAGATTGGGAAGGAATAGAGCAGGGCTTAGGGCTGTTGTACATATACAGGGTCGCTGTGAGTTGCAGGAGACTCGATGGCACATAACAACAAACAACAATTACATAATTGAACAAAATGTCTTGTATGAGATAAGCTTTCATTAGAATATGTGAAATTATATTCAATTTGCTTGAAGTTATTAAAATATTCCAGCATGTAAAATAAAGTATTTGCCTATAGACTGTTAGAAAAAACATAAACTAGTCATACAAGTAACATTATTGCATGCAAGTGGTTGATATTTAAAGTCAGGTATTAATAACACATTATTAAAGATATGCATATTCAATTTGTTACTCTTAGAAATGTCTCTGAATTAAATCATTTTTAAATTCTGTTTGAGATGGTGGGAGGAAATGAGAAAGCCTTGGCAATCACTAAGATATTATAGCTTTAAAATGGAATTGTTTGATTGGGATGGAGATATGTTTGCAACGTTATACACGGAACACAGAATTCCTTCTAATTTCTCTTTCAGTTTCTGCTATGAAGATTGGTGCTACTACAGTTTCTCATTTGGGGAATTTAATCTCCACAAATATAAAGAAGTATTTTTCCTTCACCCCCCCCCTTTTGATGAGGTACTTTCCTCTGCAATGGTATAATGTCTGGGATGTGGCTGAAAAAATCTTTTAGAAGATGAGGAAAATGGTACACATAAAACAAGTTTAACTATGAGTTTACGAGTTTAGAAGCTAAATGATAGTTATTCAATTTATAATCTTTCACCTTGTGTACATGTTTCAAATATCTCGTATTTTAAAAAGTCTGTATATTTATGCCTCGTGTTAAACATATTCATAATAAGACATCTAGCCTGGGTTTCAGTTGTGCAGTTTTACTGATATCTCGAATAATCTTCTCATTTTATCTTTTTAGGAAAAAAACCTCTCTTCTGCTCACTACTTCCTACAGATCTCTTTAGTAGAAATTTAATTCCTTTTAAAATTAATTCTTCTCTTTGAAAGGCAAAATTTTATAGTATATTTTATCATTTTGATTTACATGCCATCAAGCTGTAAGTCATTTTGTAAGAGTATATTATAATCGAGGGAAAGGAAGTGAAGCAACGAGCACATTAAGGTTCTTAATAGTGAGAGGCAGGTGCTATCAGGTGTCAAAATAATTTAAAGAAGATGAAATTTAGAATCAAAAGATAAACTTCAGTGATTTCAAAGTTTTATTGCTCACCAGCACCACATAGTTATAGTTAGCATTTCATATGCATATTTGCCTAGAGCTTTCTTTTCCTTCCAAACCGTAAGTTTTGACAAGAAAAGTATATCATTAATCTCCTTTTTTTCTCCTCAGTATCTCACATAGATTTTCTATGGATCATATAGATTGGTGCCTAGATATTTCTTTTAAACGTCTTTAACTATACAAAGTTTACTGTTTTACAGAAGGTCATGCAACGACAGAGGCTGAAGAACTGCTTAAAGATACTCTTCTCCAGATGAATGGACTTCAGGAGGATTATAATCCCCTGAAATGGAATGTAAAATGCTTGTATGTGCATATTTTTACATTTCATGTGGGAAAGTCAATAGCTTTATCAAAGTAACACATAACACAATATGGGTTAAAATCAACTACTTATTTAATTTAACAAAAATTAATATTCAAAGTTTCAAAGAGTGCATTGATTTACCAAACACAATAGAAAGTGGGTTGTTTGCTGCTGTTGTTTGAACCCTGTCCTATCCTGTACCATCCTTATCATCCGAAACACACTTGAGCCCATCGCTATAGTCACTGTATCAACCCATCTCCTTGACGTTCTGCCTCTCTTTCACTGATTGTCTACCTTTCCAAGCATGATGTCTCTCTCCTAGGAACAGACTATTCTAACAACCTGTTCTTCAAGGAGCACTCTGCTTGCACTTTTTCCACAACATATTCATTTATTCTTTTGGCTGTCTATGAGATATTCAACACTTCTCTACAACACCCCAATTCAAAAACATAGATTCTTTTAACTGTCGTCTTTATTCATTGTCCAGCTCTCAGATGCATAGTAGGTGATTGGAAAGCCTACTATATCAACTACAATCAGGTGCACCTTAGTCTTTAAACTGACATCATTATTCTTCAGGGCTGTGGAGGGGTCCTTGACATCACTTTTCCAATGCTATATATGATCTCATCTCTGACTACTGCCACCAAGGTTGTTGATTGTAGATCTAAGTAAGATGAAATAGTTGACAATTTCAATGTTTTCTCCATATATCATGTTGCTTCCTGTTGGCCCAATGGTGAGGATTTTCTTTCTTTTTTTTTTAATATTGAGATGCAATCCATATTGAAGGCTATATTCTCTTATCTTCTGCAGCAAGTCCCCTAAGTCCTCCACACTTTCAGGAAGCAACGTTGTGTCATTTGCATAATGTAGGTTGTTCATGAGTCTTCCTCCAATCTTGAATTCCATATTCATTTTCATAAAGTTCAGCTGCTTGAATTATTGACTCAGTGTACAGATTGAATAGGTATAAAGAAAGCATATAGCCTTGATGCATATTGCTCTTGATTTGTAATGGGATAATTTAGCTTATTACTTTGAAGGTTAAAAACAAACAGAAATTTAAAGTTCCATAAGTTTAAATAAGTCAAGGGAAATCAGTTCATATTATGTGTCAGGGTCATTCTAATCCTGACTTCTAGCAACAATTATTTTAATGACAGAGGGAAAGCAATTTATTCTACTGAAAACAACAAACAGACAAAATGGAAAACTTACAAAGCATCTTGGTGACTGATTTTCTGGGGGGTCTCTGGATATTTGCAGTCATCTCATCTACCTGAAGGAATTGGTCTTTTTTCAGCTAAAATTGGAAAGAAGAGGCAAGAAAGATGAGTCATTTTGTTGATTTTTAAATGCATATAACTAGAGCATTTATTTTACAGACAGAAAATAGAGATGTAGAGAAATAGAAAACAGTGAAAAATTTAACAATTGATCATGAGGTTGGATCTGGAGCCCAGTTTACCTAAGTCAGGTAGATGTATGACTATAGCCAAGTTGCAATCTTATTGTTTTTCATATGCAAGAGTAAAGAACACTATGCAATATGTTAACAGATGTTCTATGAAAAATATGAAACACTGAAGTTAATAAAAGTTGTATGGAGACATTCATTTACTTAAAAAATTATTGAACACCTGGGCTTTTTCCATGTTCTTGCTATGGTGTTCAGTAATTTTTAAGTGAATGGTTGTCTCCACATAACATTTATTTACTTCAGTGCTTCATATTTTTCATAGAACATCTGTTAACATATCACAGAGTGTTCCACAGAGTTGCATATGAAAAACTATAGGATTGCAACTTAGCTATAGTCCTAGGTCTAGCTGAGGAGGGACTGGAGAGCCTTATGCTAAGTGAACTAATTCAGTCCCACACGGACAAATATTGCTTAAAACCATTATTGTAGAATGAGTGTAAGGATCCAAGAAGAGGGGGTGGAAGCAGGCGAATGAGGATGTGCAGGAGGAGAGGGGATTAATCATTGGGTTGTGCAATTTGATGGATAAAGGTGAGGTAAACTGGAAGAATCTGTTCTGGAAAATAATGGACTAGAATTTTGTAAATAAACTAGTATAGTAAAAAAATATAAGAAAAAAGAAAAAATATTGAATATCTATTGCATGTCAATCCTTCCACTATGTGATGGGCAAGAAGTAGAAAACAAAAGCAGATGAAATGCTATTTCTACTTCATGAAACTACAGTCTTTATTGTGGATCCTCTAGAAGCTTTTAAGATGCTAATTACTCACATAGGGAAACTAGATTCCCTATAGAAAAAAAGGATTTGGCCCAATATTCCTTGTTTATTGCCATATATGTATGCATTAGTTTTCTTCTGCATTAAAGATGGTCTATTCCCTTTAAAAAAA